TTGGAGGTGTGAACAACATCACAGACCAGATTGCCTGGCAATGGGCTGACCATCATGTTGTAAGGAAGGGGTGGGGGGGGGTTGAGAGGAACACTGAGTGAGAGAAATTAAAAGAGTATAATGTAAGATGAGAATGGCGTTCCTTTGAAGGATGGAGCGGGCTTGTCTTCCTGCATCACGAGCCACAGTTGCCTGATCAGGACTATTATGGTCACTCATGACACATTATTGATGATAGGAGTTGATGTGGATTATTATCTGGATGGTCCCTTCCTGCGTCAAGAGGAGACGGCGTTCCCGTCCTTTGGTCTCATTCTGGGACTCGCTTCATAGCGTTTTCCCGAGCGAAGTGGACTCTCTGTGGGGAAAAGAGCCTCAGGCATTCCCCCCCCCCTGCCTCCCTCCCAACCAAAGCGTCTCCCCCACATCCACCACCATCCCCACACATTTCCATCTCCACTATGATGGAAGTGATGGAAATATCTTCAGGGTATTAGGACGATGTTGGCCCTTTTTTTTTAGTTCTCATAACCAGTACAGTTGTCATAAAAAAGCACATCAAGTTAGTGAAAAAAAAGGACAGTTATAGCACTGAGGTTAAGAGACTCAATTTATCCACAATGTGCAATGTTAACGAGATAATTGTGATTCTGTACAGCGCTCTTGAGCAACAGAGTGCAGGTATGCTCAGAAAAATAAACAGCCACCTTGTGAATTCTGTTGACATTTTGGGCAGAAAGATCCTAAGTGGAGTCAATTATAAAAATAAAGTAAACATGTTGACAGGAGAAACGAAACTGTGTTTTGACTGCTGCTGTCAAGGGAGGTTCGCCTGTCTAAAGTTTACACAGCAAATGATTATGCTTCACTGATTCTGCCCTGGATATATGTGTGTCCGTGTGCGTGTGACACTGTGTGTTTGAATGTGTGCACTCAGCGATCAACTTCTGCTAAATACTAATTACTGAATACTTAGTACGGATGCCCTTTCTATTGGGTCCCTTTAGTATAAACATTCATTATGGCTCTTTTTCTCCTTTGTAGCCCCATCATCATTATTCCATCGCATCCCCCGAGGAGTGAGACAGAGCCGAGGCCGGGGCCGGACCAGGCTGGGTGAGAAAACACTGTAGAACCAGAGCACCAGGACCTGGGAATGCACACAAGTGATATTTGTGCGCGGAGATCAAAAAGCATTTACCTTTAGATGTTTCCCTGATATGAATATTCAACATCCTTATTGAAATCTAATTTGGGTCTCCTTGTCTCAGGGGTCTTTTCATCAGTGCCTGTTGCCTGAGGCCACTGCTGATTGACAGCCAAACTTTAGTAAAGAGCAAGCAGGAAAAAAGGGGAGATCTGGTGGTGTTGGAGATGTGAGCGCTGTGTAGCCGGGGAGAGCTGGAATAGATGAGTGGAGGGGTGCTGGGGGGGGGAACGACGGGGGTGGGGTATTTAACCTCCTCGCGTGCATGCACAACAGAATGCTGCATTATTAGGAACTGTGAGGGGAAATAATAAGCTGGACAGAGAGATTTAACAACTATAAATCTACCTGGTTGGTGTTTGCAAATGGGGATCATTTAGTATTTCTCAACAGCAACAATTAGGAAATCAATGATTAGTCCGTTTTTTTATCTTTTTCATTATTTAAGCAAACACTTCAAAGTATTCTATGTTTTCGAGTGTTTTAATCGAGGGTTCGCTCATTTTCTCTGTTTGATAACATTGTAAACTGTATAAATGTGGGTTTGAGTCTGATACTCAGACAGAAAATAACATGGTATTTTTGAAAGCTATTTGGAAATGTTCCCAGTTTTCTGATATGGAATATCCTACGCACTTAATTGATTTGATAAACTCATTACCAAATGAATTAACACTGAAACAGCCAAAGATCTGCACTCTTGCTAAAGCAAATACATTTTCTTCTAGGATTTCTTTGAAGCAATCATCTTACCACTATTAAATACTTAACTTATTTCTCGTCTGATTTATTTTCAGAACCACAAATATACTTTATTGACATTCAATCATTTTGTATTGCAAACACAGCAAAGATGGTTTGAATTCAAATGAGCTTTTCACAATTTATAAAAAATAATTTAGCTTTTTATTAATGAAAAAATTATCAAACAACAGATAACTGCGACACATTTTCTGATACATTATTTAACATTTTGATTTAGAGGTCTAGAGGACAATAAACTGACTGAATAACATTTTAAAGACCAAACAATTCACAGAGCAGATTGAACAATACTGGAAATAATCGTGAGCTACAGCCCAACTAAAAGTGTATCGATCAATCGTTAGACTGGTATGTCTTTCACGGTCAATGGCGGTATAAAAGCATTCACATTTAATGAAAACAGTTTACGTTGTTATGGAGATCAAATCTGCTTTATTTACACAGTTGCGAGAGTATTTCATTTGTTCCCATCTTGTCTTAAAACTAAGCATCTGACGCTCCCTGCCAAAGGCAAAGCACCATATTGTTTTCTAAAATTATATTTTTCTAAACATTTGCTCAGTCATTTGCAGACTCAGGACCTGTGAACTCCATTACCATTCATTTGGCAAAATAAGAAGAAATAAATAAATAAAACTCTGTTCTCTCACTCTGTCTGCAGGGGAGAGATGGTCCACACAGATAGAGTGCATTTGTGTCTTTGTTTTTTTTTGGCTTATATAATAGCAAATATTAGAGATTTAAAACAGCCTGAGCTGCCCCTGAATCCAGAAAACAAACACTGTGAAGAAGGATTCAAACCGAACATACATGTGGAGCCTATAGAATTAGACATCACTGTAAAAAATGTGTTGGGTTACCAACAAAGATCTCTTTGTTCTGTAAAGAGTAATATTCCTGTTGCTGGTGGGTCTGAATATAGATGCTGTGTGCATGTACACACACACCCAGATCAACCTGTCCTCATCTGGCCAGTGGGCTGTGCACGGTTTAATGTTATTATTACGCAGGTGTGGGTCTTGTCCCTCAGGGTTCCATTAAAATGATGCCCCTCTCAATAGCAGCTCGCTTTGCTCTTTAGATTTAACACAGGCCATATGTCTAGCAGGAGGCAAACAGCTGATAGGGTTTAATTGACAGAAATCAACATATTTGGTTGTGTGTGTGGGTCTGTGTGGTGTGCTAATGGTGGATGTGGTTGGGCTCATGGGATCCTTTTAAAGGGTCAATTGTGTATCAGAACAGAGTTTGGAAAGAAAGGAAAAGAAAAAAGAAGGGGGCAACAGAGAAGAGAGGAAGAGACACACACAGGGAGATGTTGATAGCTATGGGCAACAAAAGGAATTCATAATGGAGACTGAGTAAACTACCAAAGACTCAAAGCACAGTTTAGCATTGCAGGACATAACCCCGGCATATCAATGTGTGAATACATTTCCTTCATTTTGGAGCTGACATTCTTGTCTATTCCGGGAACACCGCTGTGTGCAGAGTGTTAACTTCATGTTTCATCTCGCTTCACAGAGACATTGTCCCCGGCTGCAGTTAAATCATGTAAAATTACCTTTGTCACAGAGCTGATTTGGGCTCAGGAGGGGATCCAATACAAATGAGGGTATCCACCGCAGGGCCCTCAAACTCAATCCGACTATGCAAGACACAGAAATAATTAGATTTGACAAAACAAACCATTTAATGGTGGCTGGACAGAATTTTTTTCTTGGATACATTTTTGAAAACTAGGAGAATGGTTAAAAGTAGTTCTTAGTCATGAGGGATAACGCAACATTAGGCTAACAGGCGCAGCACAATTAGCACATAAACCCTGTCAATGGCCCTCAATATCACAGCCCTCAGAGGAGGAAATGACTTATAATGCTTCCTGATCTACCACTACAAAGTCATTAATCCTTCCTACACAATGACCAGTCTTAAACAAGGCCTCCATATTATTAAGTAGCCTTATATGGTTTAGCTTTATACTAATTAGCATTCAGATCAGGGACCAGAGGCAGCCCCTCCACCACTGAGGAAGGACATAGGATGAGATGGCGACACAGTGAAATGTCATTAACTTGATGTTAATTACTAATTAATGGGGCTATTTCATTTACATGTATCTCTGGCTCTCTGATGGGGCCTGCCTTTACTGGGTTACTCTTACTAGCCCACAAGTTGGGGGAGGGTTTATCTCCCCTCTCCTCTACGCTCACCCTCACAGCGTTTCATCTCTGCTAATTAAATAGTGGGCCACTCATCATGATTATGTCTGCTTTTACAACACTATTTCCTGTCAGCGAGAGCACTCCAATAAGTGACTGACCACCTCTTTAGCACCATGGCTGTTTTTGTATGAACTATACATCAAAGGCCAAATGCAGTGCCAACTCACTCCACTCCTGACTTCTATCTGACTTGTTACTTTTACTCACTTGTGGCCCTCCTCCCTTTCTTTTCTTATTGCCACGCGGCAGCCACAAGCCGTCCGTCTCCATGGCAACCTGAGCCATTCTGTCCCATGAGAAGGAGTGGGTTGGGTTGACTAGCGTCTGGCCATTCACACGTGGGCAGTGCCAGCTAGCCAACATGGCACACAGCATACTGCCATATGGTGCCACCACATACGTCCCGCTAGCCCGGACTCGGGATCTGGGCCTGCAGTGATCCGCTGGTGTGAACAGGACGGACCTGATCTAGACGTGGCTCAGCAGCTGATCCACATGCAGACTTGGCTTCCGATGAAGAGTTCTTAGCTTCACAGAGAAACATGCCCATAATGTAGTGCTTATAGGTGTATGATACTAATGTTCATGTAATCAACATTATTAGTAATGGGCAACATTTCCTGTAAGTCAACTCAATATAAGCTTTAGGAGAAACTCCACATACAAGGCCTCTGGACTTCATGGCATACAAAGTATTTGGAGGCTAGATGGAGCCATGTGCTCTCCTCATTGCTGAAACTGTGCTGCCTCCTTGTGGCACTACAGAGAAAATACATGTTCATCATGATGAAACAACTCAACAGTGTTGACAAAATATATCTTTATTCAAAGTTAATATATGCTTTTAAATACAACATATCTAAAAAGCATTAGAATACTGCATTTCCCCCAGAAATGTATTCTTTCTATCATACATATCTTACATGTTATCAAAAAGGATTTGTCAGAAGAACCTTCAGTGAGATATGTTGGTGAACAGAATTCCAGTTATTTATCATGTTAATGTCAACACAGTCACAAAAAGGGACGATGATGGCAGCTGTATATAATGCTTATCTGCTAAGGCGGGGTAAACATACGAGGATTGTGGGGATTTTGGTTTGACAATAATAAGGCTAAAATGGTGGAGGCTGTGGCCTTGTGAAAATAAATTATCTTTATGAAATGTCTAGGCATACACTTGTTGTGTATAATCACGACAAAACATAGTGTAGGTACAGGATCCTAGTTTCATTTGGTGTCGACATCATTTTTCAGATTAGATATTAAATTAAATTATTCATTCTGCTCAGTAGATTTATGTGTCCTTGTAATAAACACACACACAATTTAAATATGTTACACAGAAAATGCATTTATACTCTGAACATTTTAAATAAAATCATTTCTTCATTTACCAAAACTATCTAATATTTCGGAAATGAAAACAACCAAACAAAGAAAAAAACTAACAAAAAGAACATTTGATCAAAAAGAACAAGGCAAAAATGTAATAATGCACAATAATCAACAGAGGATACTGTGTGACCACAGTGAGCATATCTTAAAGTGCTCTCATTCCTTAAATCAGGCACAAAAAAATGTATGCATAAATTATTTTAAGAACACGTATCAAGAAAGCATCTAGATTGGCATTGAAAGTTACATGTTTAGACTGTGCTGTGAAAGCTAAATCACACAATCACTTTAACATTTCAACATTCAGCCAGAGTTACGTAGCTAGCTTTAATGACACCACACACTTTCCAGTAAAATGGATAAACCAAATGTTTTCCAGTTCCTCAACTCAACCTTACAAATTCTGAAACCTGCCCTGCAACATTCATTGTCAGTTTGTAACATAGAGACAATTATATGTAGCCTTAACGAGACATAATGCAGACTCACTTCCTCTCACACCACCATGATGAGTAAATGAGCTTCCTCCTGTGCGCAGCCCTTCCCAAATACTGACATCACTTCCTATGCAGCGTTAAGATAACATTGATGTTAATGTGACAAAAAGGTTGTTTCTTTGCAAAGCAAAATAAGTTTGACATCCGGTTTTCACCAAAATGATATATATACCAACATGTTTCTTTCAACCAAAGTGCAGGTCAGAAAGCAATAATAAGTGAGGGAACTAAACTTGCAGAAAGATCTTATATAGTTATTCATACTGCATCACACTGTCAAAATTACTTTTTACTCACTATGATTTTTTGTAATCTTACCATATATATTTATTTTCCCTGTCATCCAACTTAATATATTTATTTTATAAAAAACATTAGTTTGAAATGGACACAAAAAAATCATATAGTCTTATAAATATATATACACTCAAAAAATAATTAAGTGAAGTATTTCTATGACATGCAATCACATATAAGGAAAATTAAAATAATGAGTTACCTTTGGTCTTTGTATTCGCAACATATTCTTTAAGACAAAAAACTATGAGGATGCATTACATCAGAGCCTTGTTGTAAAACAGCATCCTCTTTCACCTCCTCTGACTGTAACAATAAGATGAGCTTGTAACCATGGAGATGGGGACTATAGACGGTAGATCGTACGGGACATTAAAGCGCCTGCCAAGTAATTAGTGGCTGGGTAATGAGGTGTCACTCAGACATTGATGGGTGAGTACTAATAAAAGACTTCAGGTGCAAGAGGCCAGTCACCCACCCCCGCAGGGTAAGAACTCACACCTTGGTCCGTCACAACTGTCAGAGAGCTTCTGAGACTGCCACAGCTATTATTCTTACATATATTATTATGTGGATAACAATTTACACAACTTCTCTTGTTCTAAGTAACACATTCTGTAACAAATGATGAACTCAGAAACCTTTTAAATCACCATTCGCTACACAAACCAGACCTTGAGGTAGGGTAGACTTTTTCTTTCCCGTTCTGCTACGAACTGACGCATCCTCTGACACATCTGTGTTTTTCTAGGATATGAAGATTTTGATACAAGATTGTTCAGTAACAGTGTGCTGGCTCTGCTTTGTGCTTTTCAGTAACTGTTGCAATACTTCCTCGACCAGAACCAGAGCCTATCAACGTTTTCCAGATGTTGTATGCAGGCTTGCCACATGCTATCCATCGGCTAGATCTCCAATGTGGATAATGTCTTAGCTGCTGGTTGCCCAAGGTCGTGTCTCCATTGGGGGATAGCATGCTTGATGGCTGAGGATTTAGATGTGGATGTTGTGGTGGCGGACCTTACTGTAGTCAATGTCGACCCGTCGGGCATCAGCGAAGGCCAGAAAGGTGCAGAGGCCCAGCAGGTTGACGGTGGTGATAAGGGCGAACACTGATGTCCAAGAGCCTGTGGACTCGATGAGATACCCGGAGAAATACACCAGTAGGACGCCTGCACAGACACACACAGAAACACCATTAATAGTGCATTATCACAAAGATTTTAACAAAGAAGACAGTGCCTTCAATGTGATTGTTCAGTGTTTCCGCAGAGAGAATGTCACAGTCCATTACACGTTTCTCACAGGACCACAAACTGTCATCCCCTGTATTATTAATCTGACACAAACTCCATTATGCTCTCTTGATGAAATATGCATGGCACATAGGAGCCAGGAAGACTGACAGGAGATACATCAGTGCAACGTTTGAATTTAGAGAGGTGGATTAATTATTTCAATTAATAGATGTATAGGTGTCATTTAGCAACTGCTGGTTAAAGATTCATCACAGATATTTGTTCCCAATGTCTCTGCCAGAAACTCACCTAAGAAAGCACCACATGTATTCATGACACCTGTAAAAGAAATGCAGAGGCACAAATGTAAAATTCAAGACTCAATTAAAATGTCATGTGCTTTTAAAACATTATCAGCCAAAATGTTTTTATATAAAGAAAATGTCAGGTTTATTTAACTTACCAAATAAAGCACCAGCACAGGAAGGAGCAAGATCTTGAACATTTACAGATACACCGCTGTAATTTAAACACATTTCGATAGTCATTTCATCAGCAGAATAAGATGCTCAATTGACTCTGATTTGAGTAAAAATAGTGTTACTTGTTGTCAAAATGTAAAATAAAATCTGTATTTGTCCTTCTGACCAACAGTTGGAAACTTATTTGAAGTAATGTAGTAATACTAGACAATTATATAAGATAATAGATGTTTTAACATAATAAATGTTAGAAAAAAAGAAAACAAATCATTGTTGAGAAAAATATATACAAATACGCCGAAAAATGGACAAACACATATTATCGGCGACTTTTCAAATGACACTTTAAGACAAAAAGCACTAAACAAAACCATGACAGCACACAGCTGATGATTTTTCATACTTGTGGTTATGTTTCGTCATCATTTTGTTCTGTCTCTATAGTGACTAAGCCATTAGTGTCGACCCACGTGTTAGTGTTTTTTGCATAAAATGAAGAGCCCATAGAGCAGTTAAAAAAAGGATAGGTCTGGTTATATTGTATGTTGACTGTATTATCAATATACCTATGAATAGCTTGTCACCATCTTGGTGCCAACAAATATTCATTAGCACACTAAATGTGTTTTGATCTGAACTTAAAAATAGTCCACAATAGATGCACTATTTACTTCCTTATGAGAAATGTTTGCTAAAGCTCTTCTTTTTAATGTATTATTATTTGTATTCAATTAAAGTAACATCAATGACATATGTTTAGCAGGCATGACCTTTGCTATGACAGAAATTATAATTAGGTCCTTCTTTGGGCGATTTTCCTAATGTAGTTAAAGTGCAAAACACAATAAATCATAGACGACAAGTGGGTCGAACAGCTGACCAAAGTTTTTAACTGCAGGCCTATTTGAAGCTGAGATGCTGCCAAGTCTTTCTTTGGCCGAGCGTGGTAGGCCCAACTGCTTAAGTTATAACACACTTATTTATTGGAGAAGGTTGTAATATATTTGGCTGAATGGCATGGTTTAAACGGGTTATGAGACAACCACACAAAACGGACCCTAGAGATACCTGACATTTTAGTCTAAAAAGAAAGGGTCTGGTTTTAGGGTGAGAGACAGAGAGTGTAAGGACAATCGAGGAGCCAGTACCTGTGACTGAAGGTGGTGAGGCCCATGGTGGCCGACACAAATGTTACAGCCCAGGGGAAGGTTGTTTTTCGACACAGAAGAAGAGTAAACACACTCGACACACCCATAGAGAAGAACTAACAGGGGAATAAATGCACACAAAAACCCATCAATCAAATGTTTGCATGATGTTCAAGTGTAAATAGGAAAAAGACAATGACTTAACAAACAGGTGACATTCACACAGGATAATAAGGCTTTCAAAGTTAGTACCTGCATCAACTTCCTCACTGAGGCTGTGTCAAAGCCTGTGGGTATCAAGGGAGACATTAGGACAATCAGGACAATGATTTAGCTGCTTTATAAGTAAGAATAACTCTTCTAAATATTTGTTTATCAGTTACCCTACCTTGCCTGATGAGGTGGTCAGACAAGCAGCCACTGAAGAGGGATGAGGGTATGGCCACCAACCAGGGAACGACATTGAACACCCAACCCTGGAGGGACAACAGATTTTCTAAGCATGAATTACCTTAACCAAACAGCAGGGTACAAGTGAGGTCATTCTCATATCGTAATAAGTACTTTTCTAGACGTGACTCTATAGTTGGCAATCCACAGATGAAAATATCTCATCGTGTAAGTCATGAATTGTTATTAAATTGTGTTCAGACATCATGGTGTCCAGAGGATGACACCCAATGACTCTCCAGAACCACCACCCGGTTGTTTCTAAGCAAAATGTCTTAATATATGTACCGATTACTATGAAATTGAGATATTGGATATCACTAGTCCCCAGAGGATGAATCCTAATGACTTGGATGATTTCCTGAATGTTTGTCTGTGTACAGCAGCATTTCAAAGTTTGTATTTATCCAGGGATATTACTTGATGGATTGGCATAACATTTTAGACATTCTTGGTTTCAATGCAATACATCATAATGACTTTCAATCAGCCTCAGCTGTACGTTTCGGTTTAGTGCTTATTAGTGAATAGTAGCTTTCAAACAGTCTAAACTAAGATTATGAAAATAGTTAACGTTAAACCTGCTGAATATCTTCACATCAGCTTGTTAGCTTTTGTAAGCATGTTAGCATGGCAGCGTTGGCATGTTAATCAAACAATACTGTGCCGCCCAAGTATAGTCTCACAGAGCTGCTGGCATGGCTGTGGACTCTTAGTCTTGTTAAACTAGTATGTCTTGATTTCAAACCTTGACGGTTGTGTTACTTTAGTTGTTGTTGTACCAAATATGTGATCAAATGTATCCTGGTTACCTTGGCATCAGGGAACGTGTCTTTAAAGTATGTTGGCAGCCATGACAAAAGAGTGAAGAAGGTGCTCGCTGTGCAAAGGTGCGTAACGATCACAGCACTGTTGACAATAAAGAGAGAGAAACAGATAAGTTAATTGAAACTATATTTATACATACTGTAGGTTTACCAAAAGTTGCTCAATGTTGTTGACTAAGGCAATGTCCCAAATATCATGATCTGACAAAAGCTTGTGTGCTACGTGTTCGACATCCATTGTTTTCCTGTCTAATAAATCATATCTGTGTTCAGGCAAGTAGCGTCTCAAGAAGGATCAGATACATCAGATGAAAACCACAGAGATTCTCCCTGTCACTGAAAACTGAGCAGATCAGTTACATTACAGTGTATACAAATCATATTGACCACAGGGAGATGCTGGAAGGACATAGAAGAACTTTAGATGAGAACATACAGCAGAGGCAGCTAGAGATGGGGCTTATTGTTCCAACATTTGGTACATAAAAAGCTGGACTTTAGTCTACAGAAACCGTTTTACTACAAAGATTTGATCTGTCAAGATTCGATATGTTTTACATATATTTCCACATTCTTCCGCCTAGATAATTTCTTCTTAATCTCTATACCTACATACAAAGGAGTTACACAGAGAAAAGATTGCATTCATACACTGATAGACTTGAACAAACATTCAAACTCACACCTAACACTTCCTTTATCTTTATCTCACCAGACTGCTGGTTGTTTTAGGAGCCGTAACCAATGTCTTTTAGACAGTTTGGACTGGGGCCCACCACTTCCCAGGGACTCCAGGGTGATGATAGGCCCTGCAAACACAGACCAACACAGACACGTGAGGATACAAACGAACACTGACTCCTATTGTACAAAGGAATAGCTACAAGATAGGACTGTGCTATGATGTCACTAGATAGTGTTGACACATTTAAAGCCTCTCTTGCCTTCTCCCTTGAGCAGATATTTCCACATGCAGTAGGCCCACAGCAATGAGAGGAGACCAGACACATAAAAAACACTCTGCCAGCCATACAGGTCCAACATGAGGGAGCCAGCCCCTCCTATCACCAGAGTGCTGGGGGGAAAAGGTCACAACAAGACATGACAAGTCAAACAAACATACCTTTGTATTAAGATGTTGCAACAGAGTGCTTGATTAGGCACATACTGTAAAGGGCATGAGCAGAACTTGTAAAGCAAACACATACAGTATCAGGATGTTATACTAAAACTGTACATCTGCATAAATAATATAACATAACAATTGTATTATTGTGGGATCACAACAGACACAGCTTTTAAATGAACCCGTCCTCTTTGCATTTTCTAGGAAAATAAACACTATTTCCCACCATTCCCATTTATTGCATAACGCTTGACTCACCCCAGGTAAGAGCCACTACCCACGGTGCTCATGAGGAAGCCCCTTTCACTTTCCACCACCTTCTGAGAGCACAGACTCGCCAGAGAAGGGTAATGAACTCCTAAAATCAGGATACGATCAGATCAGTTGATATTTAGAAAGTCATTCAAAAAGAAAGAAACAAGTAAGAAATAAAAGCAAGATTTTTACTGTGACAACACTGAAAACAAACATCTGAGAAATGTAGTCTGATGGGAATAATAATACTTGTACAATTTTCAATTTACAGTCTCTTTCAAAAAGGCCTGTCACAATGCATAAAAACGTATTCTAAAGACAGACAACCGCACATTCATTTTCACTACAACTTTACCATGTGTTTGTGTGATTAATGTTGTCGGCCTGTTTCTAATTAGCAAACACAGCCAGCAGACTTTAAAATAAGTTGCATAATTATGCTCTTTCAAGACCTTGAAAAAAGTACACAGCATGTTTTTACAAATTAGGAATTAGGTTTCTCCTTAATAACTTACAGAAATCTTAAAATGCAATTCCTATCATTCACACTGTCCTTCTCACCTTGCAACAAGCCCATTAGGAAGCGGGCCAGTGTCATGGAGAATATTGGCTGGGAGCAGAAGTGGGCCAGGATGGGGGTGAAGGCCGTCATCGACCCCCAGGCTGCCGCGGACAGCAGGAGGACCTTCTCACCTCCAACCCTGTGGACACAGAATAAAGAAACAGTGAGTATGAACTTTAACTTCTGACCACACAGAGAGCTGCTTTTATCATTTAAAGGTTGCTAGGGGAAGTACAACTATGATCATTTGGATGTCTTATAACACTAGTAATCCTGCCTGTGGTTATTTTAGAAGATATGAACTGAAAGATAAAGCATTTTAAGGAATCATTTCAGACCGCTAACATTGGTGTGACTATTCTGGAGTAAATAAAACTCTTATCTGTACATGACGCTGTCCGCCTGCCTGTCTAGCCCTATTTACGGTCTTATCTAATCCACTATGAGCAAACAAATCTGGGCTGTTTGCATCACTGCCAGTAACGTTCTCATGCAAATTACACCTGATGAGCAGTAGGCTAAAACAGCTGGCAAACGAAAACCAGTGTCATTTACAGCATTCCTAATACGATAACTCAGTTTGCTTAGGCCACTTTTATCTCACAACAGGACCACTGTTTGAGCTCTAATGATTCCCACCGGTCGCTGACGTAGCCTCCGAACACTTGGGTGAAGCAGTAACCCCAGAAGAAGCTGCCCAGCACCATGCCTGACTCGCTCTTGCTCCAGTGGAACTGCTCTGCCATGTTGACAGCACAGATGGGCATCGCCACACGGGCACAGTACAGGAGGCATGTCCCGAGCAGCAACACCACCGTCCATACCCTCGCCACTGGCCTGCACAGGAGAGGAGGCAGCATGGATTGAACAAAGGCAACATTTGGGACAAACTTTGGATTTAGAACCAGTTTAAAAGTGAATGTCTTATCTATGTAGGGGAGGTAACCACTGTCCCCAATTTGGCTGCACTCTAAGTATATTTAGCCCGAGTTAAAGTGGATTCTATGAAGGTTAGGTTTAAGAGATTAGCTGTGGTTTGGTTGAATATACTGGGGATACAGCACTATCTTGAAAATAAAGGAAATTACTTTAAGACTAAGGTGTCAAAAAATGTACAACTGATGATATTTTATGATCTTTCTTTTTTCAGAAAGGAAGCCCCCCTTACCTCCCAATTTACGAGCCATGTTTGTGACCTATGTGGCACACCAACTATATCCTCAAAGCCATTAACCGCCATAGATGATACGTGTCCTTTAAACCAACTGGTTTAGAGTTACTGTGATTACAGAATACCTGTAATCCTGATTCACGGCTAATAAGTATAGAGCAAAGAGTTGCTAAAAAGTATCAATATTGATTTAAGTTAATCATGTTATCCTAAGTAGCTAAGACTTGGGTAAACGGGAAAAACAAACAGCAGTGAGTCTCGATGAGGGTTAACGGTTACCTTGTCCAGTATGTGTTGTGTTCAGGCCACTTCTTGTGACATTCAGGAGCTCCGAGCTTGTCGGACGGATGGTTTTCCCTGTGACAGACCAAATCTGGACTACAGCTCTTGCCATGTTTTTGAATAACTGCCATTCAACGCGAGTTAACAGCAGCCTCCGTTCAACCGCTTCGGCTGTTTACTTTCAATGTCTTCCGGTCGATAGGTGTGTAGTCAGAAAAGTAAACGTGTAAAAGAAATAATCCTGACAACTGAAACTGGATTGAACAGGGACGTAAGGCGATGTTCGTGGAGCTGAAGCTGGAGGAGGGAGTCTGATACCCTAGGAGGAGTAATCCACGTGTCAGTTTTTCTCTCCAGCCTCCTTTTGCCGGCGACGCAGTTCTTCTTTTGATCGGTAGGGTTAATCTGGAAGTGATTTTTGTTCTGTGCCTTTTCTAAACGAGTCTAATAAACCGATTCAATCCACACACAAAAAACAGAGTGACTCCGGTCCCTCTCCAGTCATGACGGTGCAAAATATGTCACATATAACGGTGTCGTCTATGGGAGCATCGTCCGAGCACCAGGATGTACTCTCCTCCTGACCCGTGCCTGCCGGATGGAGACGGGATGGTGCCCGTGCAGAGAGGCTGCTGTGGGGCAGGGAGGTGCGCAGTGACAGCCTCCAAGGTTGTTTTAAGGGGTTGTCTGCCCCTGGCTGTGTGAGGCTTTAGCAGGAAATCGTTATATAATACCCCTGCATTCAGCACAACTTTTTCCCTGATTTCGCACACTCCAGGTGGTGGTGGTGGAAGGAGCACTCACATCCTTTTTTAGGTTGAAGTGATGCATTATAGATGAAAACTTGCATTGCACAGTAGTAAAACCGGTACTAAAGATAACAGCCAAGTGTCATAATATTATACTGCTAGTTACAGGTCCTGCATTTCATTATAACCCTTACTTAAGTAACAGTACAAAAACATTATTATCCAATGTAAAATTGGTCATTATCCAAATTGCCCCTCTTCAGAATCATATTAATTATTTGTTTTTGTATGAAACTCTTAACCTGTAGCTAGTCACTAAAGCTTCCAAATAAATGTAGTGGAGCATAAGAATAAAATACTTCAAATGCATACATAGTGCTTGATTTATGTAATTTCCAATAAATGTTACCCTCGTAAAAACACTTCATGTTTAAGTGTTGCAGTATTGAAACGTGTGTACTTGAGTGAATGGACTTAGTTATTTTGCCGTTATACCATTTGAAACATAGAAAGCGTCATTCCTTTAAAGACTTGTGCAGTTTAAAAGTCACTTTTATTGCAAAATAATATTCCAGCAAAACAAAAAAAAGCACATCAAATTTTTGCAAAATAGCTACTTATTCCATACATGTAGATAATCGGTCTGTAAAAGTGTCTCCATGTCTGCGGACATAGATTTATTCATTCACATTTTTTATATCAGTGATATTTTGTAACGATATGAAACTGAGGATGCCTTTAAGCTTGCAGTCACAGTATGCTGGACAGTTTTTAGCATTTCCGGAATCTTGCCTTATCCCACTTATTTGCTGCCTAGATGTATAGCTCAAATGTTTCTCTTTTCTTTGTTATTGTCTACATTTGCATCTTTTTATAGTGTCTCAAGCAATGATGAAGTACGAATCTTAAGCTAAATTCAACTTTCAAAGTCACAATACTTTAAAAGATTCCATGTATCTTGCTTTGGCTATTGCCGTCACATAGAGGACTGGCTAAAATCTACAAGCTGAAATGTGTGAGAAAAAGTTTGCATTTATTTGAGGCAGTGCACACCAAGCCATCCCTGGACATCAAACTGGTCACACACAAGAGAGTGACAGCCTAATTTAGGCTTTATCCACACCCTTCTATGCCAACAACTTTCCCTGCCAACAGACAGAAAAACTAGTATAACTCAAATATACTATTTTACATAAACAAATAGTAAATTATAATACCAAGTAAAATAACTGTCTGCATGTTACTTTAGTGTGAATATTCATTTTAAAATGCCATCAATCCAGTTTGCACATTCTAAGTTATTAAAGTATCAAAAAGCAACCCTTACAAAAAAGAAAAGGTTGTACTCTATATGAGCCAGTTTGTTGGGGTATAAATAGATAAAGGAAATATGTCCATTTTGTAATGCTGTGGTATGTTTTCACTGTGGGTCCTTATTTGGGGTCCTCGATGGTTCCCTTGCTGAGGTCTGTCATTTTGGGATACTTCACTTTCTTTTGGTCAAGTTCATTTTGAGCCCACAGCAGTAGCTTCAGGAGCTTGGCCAGCTTGGGAGTTGACTCTCTGTTTTCGTAGTCTAGCACACACTGATTCACTTCACTCCATACCTGTAACACAAAGACACATACATGTTTGTATTTATACTTTACATTTTATACAGACACACACTAATAAAGAAACTCATATGCAACTGATTTGAAAACAGGAGATACAAATACTACATTTGTCTTCAAAATAATGCAGCACTAACATTCAATGTTTGACCTTGTGTTGCAGGGATCAGATCAACATTTTTGGCTTGTGAGATAATTAAATTACATGTGGCATGCAGTTTAAACTGATTCAATTGAATACAGATGCAAGACAAGACAGGGATGATGCTAATATGCTTTAACCGTACCTTTTGCCTCTGCATCATATTGAGCAGATCTCCAAAAGGTGACTCTTCAGGGTTGTCAAAAGCAAGCAGGGCCAGTGTCCTTTCCATCTCAGTCAGACATTCTCGGCTCTCCTCCCCCTGCTCTGCTAACTGAGACTGGGCAAATTCCAGGGCAGCTTCAGTCTCCCTTAAACGAATCAGCTCAATCAGATGCTGCTGCTGCAAACAAAAACAGCCAGAGGGTGCAACCGTGTGAGATGAGAAGTCAAAAACAGGCAGTACGAAACCAAGAGGTCTGAAAAATTAGAGGCATTTTGTTTTGTTTTACCTGTAGGTGAAAGTAGAGGTAACGGTTAGTATCCAGCAGTTCTGGGTGCAGGCTGTTAATCAGTGCAATGGCGTCCTGGATCTGTCCCTTCAGGATCATCTCTCTGATCTTAATTCTTTCATCTAGGGAATCCAAGTCCACACTAGGCTCTATTCCAGACTCCATCCTGAACTTCTCAGCTGCCTCCTTGAAGCCCTCTGTGGAACAAAAACCGTGGTAAAACTCTACACATTGTACACCCGTACATTGCTTTTATCTGCACAATTGACCTTTAAAAGACAACCAAGAACAAACTTAGAGTAATACAAAATCGGTACTTCACCTGTCACCAGATAGTTCATAATTAGCCTGTTCATATCGGCTCTCTGAATATGGACATTGTTGAGTTTTTCCATCCACTCTTCCCTTGTAATGTCCTCTGGCTTCTCTGTATAACTCATTTTGTAAATATCCTAGACGAATGCAGAAGGGTTATCTTATTAGTTGACAAATAGACATTACATCCAACCTAATTATACAACGTTTTAGCGGTTTTGGCAATAAGCTCTTCAGTTTCTCAGCAACACTGCACCGGAAATTATAAGTCACAACAGTTAGGGCCTTCGATGAAAAACACAACATTGAAGCCTGCCTTTCCTCAACACGAATCAAAACAAACACAACCTCCGCATTTCAGTACATTTGTATAGAATACACACACCATCAATGAATGCTTTTAATGTTAATGTGCTTTACCGACTTGTATCTATAGCCCAATACTAGTATTAAAGTTATAAAATTCACAATACCTGAAAATGCTTTCGCTACTTCCCAGCAGTAGCTAACTAGCTAGCGGAGGATAGCTACTTCTTCTTCTTCTACTACTTCCTCTATTTCCGGTACCGGTAACTACAAGGAAAGTGTAATACTGCCCCTACAGGAAATAAAAAGCATTTATGACTGATTGAGAACTGCATATCTCATTATCTCATAAAGGCTAATGTGTTTTTCTTACTATCTTAACCAGTTACACCTACTGCATCTGTCTTTCTGACTTTCTTTGAGAATGGACACGTGCAGTAGTGGCATTCGTCTTACTATTTGGGTGACGATTAATAGGAGTGTATCTATGTAGTGTGCTTGTATAGTGACTGGTAATTTTGTATTTATTTTATAGATGCTTTAATAACATGGCACAGCATCACTTGACATAACTGCAAGTTTAGCATGCACAACACATGAGGATGAGAAAACACCTGTTATAAAAGGAACTACAGCGACCTCAAGTGTTGTAATCAGGCAATAGACCAAATTGTAGATTACTCGAGGTAGCAAAGGGAATATGGATCACTCCTCAAAGGATTAGAATACTATTATGTTTTATTTGTCACTATAAAATGTATAAAACATTGTTGAAATGCAATAAGTATGAACATTATTATCTAAGTAGATGTAATACATTATTAGAATTGCCACAAAACATATAAAATCAATATATTATGATATACTGTTTCACTATTTTACATTATTTTCTGCAGTCTATTAGTCATTATAATTTAGGTTTGTCCTGTTGCTAACCTCAGTTTGCAGATGTTAGCAACAGGAGAAGCCCCGCCCCCCCCCCCCCCCCCCCCCTCCACTGGCTACCTTGTTTGTTGTCACTATGGAAACAACGCTGTTAACTTTAGTCCTAGAAGTCCGTTCAGAAGCTAAACTCAGTTAAACAACATTAGCTGTTTACAAAATAACCAAAGCGAGAAGATATTGAATGAAAGAGCAGGTAACCCGATTGACAGCGTGTCGTTATTTACTGCAATAAGCTAACTTTTAAGATTATTACAGCGACCAAAAGTGTAATTGTTTTTGTTAACGTTGTGTATGTAGCATTAGCACGATAACTAACTAGCTAATTAGCCTTGGAGTTAATGAAAGACAGCTGTAATAATAGCCTTACTTTTGCTTCTTGTTATTTTCAGTATTTTGTTGCCAGACATGGCCAGCTCTCATGGAGTTAGCGAAGGCACATCAGCAGTGAAGAGCATGTCGCAGTTTCCCGTCCTGCCCCCGATTGATGGCGTTCAGGGCCGGGGGGAGGTTAGACAGACCACTTCTGCAAAGAAGGAGATTGCTGAGAAGATTACGGTTCGCAAGAAATTTCTGAGGCACAGAAGGAGCAAAGTGCAACAAGAGCAACTCCATGCCATATTGTATGTTTTTAACATCAACTGTGGCAGCCCTTTAGTCAATACATCAATAATAGGATATGACAATGATCTCAGTTTGTAACAAGTTTGTTGATGTGTGACAATTGGTTGAATTATTACAGGGTGTCCAGAGCAATGGAGGCTTACAGTCAGAGCAAAGAGAGGGAAGCAGTGCACTCACCAGAACCAGAGTGTCCTCCTTCTGTATGACAATCATCTACCTATGCACACATTTAAAATATAACATTATATATGTATATTGCAGTCTATAATCTGGCATATTTTAATCGTTCTTTTTGCAGATGATAAGTGAGGAGCGCAAGCGAAGGGTAAGTCCATAGTTTAGTTCAAGTAAAATTCAACCATTGAGGGACTAAACCCTACTTTTTTGTATGTCATGCCTCTCCAATTTTGTTGGTCCAATTTGCAGATGAACTACATGTTCCTTAGGCAGTGTGTAGAGAACCGCCCAGTCGCTCCAATCCAGTCACAGTGGTTGGAATCAATTGTTGCCCGAGTGTCCCCTAATTTTAAAGAGGGCCCTGAAACCAATAAAATACTCCAGGAGCTCTGCAAAGAAGTCAGCGAGGATTTCCACAATGTGATTGTCAAGCACACAGGTATTGTCAAGTTAGTATGTATGGATGTATGGATCTATGGGTAAACAATGTCTTATTATGCCATATTCACTCCCTTTAGTGGACACAGTACTAAAGAATCCCCAGATAAAAGAAGCAGACAAACCGACAGCTAGTCAACCAAAGTGAGTGTGAAATGTACAACAAGTATTTATTGATAATAACCAAAAAGTAGTTGGTCAGTATTTACAATGCCCTTTTTGTAAATTACCTTTCCATTTTTTGCAGAATTCTGGATTTCTCTCCATCATGGCATAATAGCTTTGTCCGAAGCCGCAAAATGATGAAATCAAATTTGCACATTCTTCATCCGGTAATGCAAACTGTCTTGAATATTGGATACCTGACATTTTCTCCAGTGGTCCTGGTGGACCTTACAGGATGCAGGTAAGGAAAGACACAAATTCAATGTGGCGCTGCTTAAAAGGGAACAAAACTCAGATTTCCCATGTTTTTAATTTGTTGGCTTCTGTCTGTTAAGGGCTTCGGGACCTGTAGACTGTAAGAGCCTACAGAACAAAATGGCAGTGGAGTGTAAGAGGACAGAAGATCGCATCATGAATACCTGGTTTCCAAAAGTCATCCACTTATTAACAAGCCATGAAACACTGAAGGGAGTTAAAGAGGAGAAACTGGACTCATTCTATGACTGTGCATCAACCCTCATCTCCAATCAGGTGAGATCATTCTGACTTGAATTTGAGCCTAATTTGTCAGATTGAATAGATTACAGTTATTTAAATGAAGGTTGTTTCACTGTATCGAAAACAGTACATACATACATGAATTATTTTATTTATTTATTTATTATTATTTTTTTATTTAGTCCTATATAATTTCATCATATTAAATGTTTGGATATAATGGCATCCATTTTATGTTTTTTTTCTCGACTACACATTATGATTGATTTTCCTTTTGTTAATTCCCAGTTGAAATCCCTGCTTCAGTCGAGTATAGAGGAGTTGGTCAATCACTTTGATCCGAGCAATGGCCAATGCTTGCCCCTTTTTCGCATGGCTTTGACATTTGATGATGAAAAGATGGAAATTTACCCCACATTACAAGATCTGGAAGCTGCCATTTTGGAGATTGTTAATGCCATCACAAACACGCTGCAGGTGAGGTTATGTCCAATAGCAATTTAAAAGGAATGACCACTTTATGGCACATTTTAGAGGTAAAAAAAAGGATTGTGTGCTAGTATTGATATCTATGACATTGATCCACAGAAAGTGCAGATGGTCCAGTCATGGCTGGCACAAACCTTACCTTCCTTTGTTGATGCCAAGGTGGCTGATCATATCCTAGCTTGGGCTCAGGTCACTATAAAGACAGCTGTGTGCAAGAATCTAGAAGAACCTGACGGACACTTCCAGAACTATGGTGATCTTTTATAATCCATTAATTTCCTTTTATCGTAATTACGTTTAATTCCATTCATTACTGACTTTTCTGCTTGACTTGCAGTTGAGAACTATGACTGGTTGGTCAATGAACTGCACAGGCAAGAGTAGAAAAGTTCATGCAAGAGGAGCACTCTTTTGACGACTACACTAAGGTAATTATCAGAAAAAATACAATTGATGCTGCATACATTATGGAGCTATTCATATTCTTATTCTCATTTTTATTTAAAGCAAGTGGAGGAGTTTCGTGTTCTGTCAAAAGAGATTCTCAACCTCCCAGCAAAAGCCCACTTTCACATGGTCCATCTGGACTGTGAAGAGCTGAAACAGGGGCTTGCCAACAAAACAAAAAAGTATGCTGAAATACTTCTGAAGAAACTGATCACCAGCCACCGTGAACAAAACCAACAGTGAGTCACTTCTTGTAACATTCTTTAATCAAACTGTCTGTCTTTGTTTTTTTTTTATATTATTCAGTTTTTCTCACAATCCTTTTTGTGTCTGATTAAAGGATCTGCACTGAATTTGAAACCATCAGAGAAAATGTTCTGAAAGTACCAGAGAACACGGAGGACATGAGTCAGATCATTGATCACATTAAATTCACTAAGGCAAAGGGTATTGCTGAACTTAATACAAAAATAAAGGTAAAGTAATTGGATCTACCTGTTGTATCATACACTAAATCATATCGATTTCAGTTTATTTATTTGAATTCTAACCGTATTTACTACCACATCACGTTCTGACAGGAAGCCTACTTAAGACTGATGTACATCCTGGATGTCCACATCATTGAGCCAGAGGATCTTGAGCTCAATGCGACTGTCTTTCTCTGGCCACAGAAAATCCTCCATGTCTTTGACCTCAGTGATGAAGTAAGACTTGTGTTACTGTTGACAATAGTATGTCAGAGTTGTTTTTTAACAATAACCTGATATTGGACGGCTGCATCCTTTACCAGGTGATGTCGAAGGCCAGGCAGAAAGGGGAGCAGGAGCTGGTCGCTAAAATAGAAAAATTAATGATTCAGCTGGAAAAGTTGGGACGCAGGATCGAAGAGCTCCCACATTACTCTGAGCTGGATATGATGCAGCAGGTAAAGGGTCTTTAGCACCTTTAGAATTTGAAGAAATAATAGTTCTGACATTTTGGGAAATGTATGTATTTGCTTTCTTGCCGAGAGCAAGATAGAAATATCAATACCAGTCTCATAACTCTCCATAAACCCACCTATTGTTGTTCTTACACTTCAGATTTGTACGTTTTAAACAAACAATATATACATTGTTAATTAATAAGGTTTAACAGTTGGTGGATTTTGATACTTCAGACAGAGCCAGGCTAGCTGCTTCCTGCTGTTTCAGTTCTAATGCTAGGCTAAGCTACTTGTCCGCTATCTTCATATTAAACAGATAGATATGAGAGTGGTATCAATCTTCTCTTTTAACTCTCTGCAGTAAAGTGAGTAAGTGCACTTCACAAAAAGTCAAACTGTCCCTTTGAACTTAAAATAACTTTATATTAATTTTAAAATATGCTGTTTAATTCCTAATCAGTGTAAGTACAAAGCAAGTACTGATCAGATTTGTGTCAAAGCTTCATAAAACCTACATTTGGTGTTATTTTCTAGCAATACAATGACATC